CAGGTGCATATACGAATGAAGAATCTCCTGAAGGTCAATTTTTTCTACCAGTTATTTTCTTAATGACGATCCTTATTTTGACACTCTGGTTAACTGCTATTAAAGATGTAATAAGCAGTTTTTTTATTTACTACTTTACGTTTTTAACATCCGCATAATTCCATAGAACTGTTCGAGCGAACCCTTTTACCGCACTGGCAGCCTTCGGTATGTTCTTACAATTCATTGAAGACATATGTCTTCTATATCAGCCTTATTTCACCCGTCCCTCCCTCTTCTCGCTTCTTCTCATACAGGCCTTGCATGCTCTTAAACTTGAACACTTGGTTTATATCCTTTTTTTAAGCTGCATTTTTGGTAATGTTCGTACTAGAATACAAAAAAAGGTCCGATTTAGGTGGCCGTTTCAAAAAAGAAGTGGTACTTGATGGCCAGAGCTATTTGTTGCTAATACGAGACGAAGGAAGCGTTGCACCTGATTATCAGGTTTCTCTTTAGCTGATAAAATTTTCTTTACTGTCTAAGTTTTCTTGTAACATCCAAAAAAGGCCCATGGATTAATGTACGTTGCTAAATTACGCATTTACTGGGTCTTTGAATATTTAAACGAAATTGCTTACAAAAGACAATTGGAAATAATGTAAACCGGTCAAAAAATTAAAAAATTTAATGGGTCAGTATGATGGTTCTCTTTCACTGTGTGCGATATTTTTTGTATTTTTCGCTTCCCACTTATTTTGACACTTTCACTACATCGTATTTTTACTTGCCATTGATGCAGCGTGGCTACTTCTCCATTCTTCTTTGTTCTGGGCTTCTCCCATCACATAACTACATAGATTGCGTTCAAATCTTTCCATTGTATTGGCGCAGCTTTTTTTGATTTAGCATTATGGCAAAAAGACTAAGATTTAACAAATTATAACACCATTGATTGTTCCGGTGAAATGTGTTACCCCGTTGAAGTGCCGACTTTTTGTTGTATCCGACCCCGCGTAATCGAATACGACCGCTGACCTCTGAAGTGGTTTGGGTAGGAAGGGATTTTTGTTTATCCTTCTCCACAACCCGTCTCTCCGTATGCTCTTTCCCGTGGGGCAGACCACTGCTTCTCCTAGTATCACTTTTCCATTCTTCACACCGCCCGTTTTTGATGTAATTTGTTGATTTTCTATTGAAAATGTAACAGGTCAAGCGATTCTGCCTCCCAGCTGGTATCAACAGAACTGTTGGTCAGTTGGAAGGCGAAATCGCCCGATCTTTAACCTTTAGCCCTCCAGTAGCACTGTCAGCTCCTTGCCATGCTTGAATAAATGTTTCCCTAACTTTTCGATATTCTTAAATTTTTTGAAATGATGACGGTTCTGCAACGCTTTTGCCACACCCGGATTCCCTAATCTGAAAAGACCGCCATGAGATTTAGGCTTTTTATATTTGGTGCATAATCCTTGTGGCTTTAATATTCAGTAAATTGACGTACGCTTTTTCTTATAACAAAACTGACCAGTGGAGAGTTATTACAGTCTGATCAATGGACAGTTATTGTTGGCATAAGTGATGTTGCTCAGACCATACACTAGTACCCCAATGACTTTCTCACGAAGAATACTTCGAGTTCACATTTTTGCAGGGCAAAATTTGTAACTCATCGGCTATGCTTCTTCATCCCGGTAATCCAGTAGGGGCGCATTCGTAACAGAAAGTAACGTCCAGGAAGAACCCCTGACTAAACCAGTAGTTTAACAATACAGTCACTAGAAGCGTAATATTGGTCAAATTAGAACTGTACGCATATGTTCAGCCAAATTAGATTTGTATGCTTACGTATATCTCGAAGCTTTTACGGCTGCATGTTCACGGTGCTAAATTGCAGTTTACGCAGTGGCTGGACGCGGTCATCTTTGTCTTCTCATTGGAAAGTCAGGAAAGTATCGAAACGGCTCTGCATTACTACGAACAAATGTCCAAATACCGTAATATCAGTGAAGTACCGGTTCTTATGGTCGGCATGCAGGTTGTTCACCTTATCCTCTTCTCAGGCTTTTTTGCTCCAGTAGGCATCGAGTTGTAGCCGCAAAATAACTTTGCAAGTTCGTCTTAAAAATGACTGCGCATTGGTTTCAGGATGCGGTGACAGAGTCGAATCCGCGAGTAATCACCGAACAGGAAGGTCGGCAAATGGCCAAAAGCCTACCAAAATGCTCCGGCTACTATGAAGCATGCTCAACTTATGGCCTGAACGTTGATCGATTATTCAAAGACAGTAAGTACTTCATTACTTGAAATAGGACTAAAATCTTTGAAAGAATCTCGAATTCACAGTAATTTTTTAAATGTCGGAGCTTTGCGAAGTCGCTAATTTCCGTTTACATTGTGGGCCAAGTAGTCAGAGCGATTGAATCTAACAATAACTCGTTTACATTCGATCTGTTTTTATGCGTTTTGTGCTGCAACAATTAAAGAAGAAGCTTATAGTCGAGACCTTGAAGCTTATATATATATAGGCGTGTATATTTATGTATTTAGATATTTATGTGTGTTCCAAGTGCATTTTATTGGAATTGAGCCTCCTTCAATTTTAATTTTTTCCTTCAGTTTCAGTTTTCTTCACTTTACTAGATCCTAGCAAGCTTCATTCCATTTCTTCTTAGTGTGCGGAAAATTGACTCATTGTTCATTCAGACATGCTCGGGATGTAGCGTGACAAGGGCTAGGAAGCAAAGGTGTGAGCGGAAGCTTGAAAAGGCCAACGTCAAGTCGTACTAATATAATTCGATCAGCGTTGTTGCTGTTTCCCGGAAAAAAAGGGGCCAGATGTTCGCTGTCGTGTCAGTCAGCGCCATCGCACCGAATCTCCCTCCTCTCCGTTTATTTCTTCCTTCCTCATTTGCAGCCAATTTTTTATTCATCCTTTTTTCCTTCCTCATTCCCCTCCAGTTCAGGAAAAGCCTCAATTGAATCCATCAACACGAATGAGGCCGAGTGTTGTTTGTCGCGAACATTTTTTCACTTTTTACTGAAAAGAACGTGAATTTCTGTCCAATTTACCGGCGCCATTCAACGAGTCATTAAAAAAAAAGTGATTTTTATTTCTTTTCATCCTAAAATTCAACCAGTCCAACTAATTACTTCCACTGTGAGAGCATAGGTCGAGAAGTATTAAAAAACGTAATTAAATACATACCAATCCCTTATCTTTTATTCTACTCTCCCCGCACCAAATAGTATAAATTCCAGAATATTGTTCCGTGGGTAGTACCAAAACTGAAATATTACCAAGAATCATAGGCGGATCCAGGGTAGTTTCCCGGGAGGGACGGGGAGGAGGAAGCGATTTGGGCGATTTTTCTTACTCCGTCCCCCACCCTTCCTCTTCCGTTCGTCACTACGTTGAAAGCCGCACTTCCCCCCCCCCCCCCCCCCCCCCCCCCCCCCCCCC